TCGATCATGGATTACAAAAAAATCGATCAAGTATTACAACAAAATCTATCATGGATTACAAAAAAAAAAAAAAAAAAAAAAAAAAAAAAAATTTAAGACCGGACTTGCCGATTCATTGTACGGACTCGCCGATTTCGTACAGTGAATCGGTGAGTCACTGTACAGAATCATCCGGTTCTCTTTAGAACAGGACGATTCCCGTTTTTTTCGCCGATTCAATCCGTCCATGGCGATTGCGTTTTTTTAAACACTGGTTTAAATACCTCAAAAAATTATTAATAAGATAACAACAACAAAATGAAAGATCATCCTCATCCTCATCCTCATTCGGGCCTTATCCCACCAATTTGGTGTTGGCTATGTGAGTCACGTTCCGTCATTCTGCTTTATCAAAGGCCTTACCATCTGTAAGACCATATGTGGACATATCTTTTCTCACTACTTCCATGTATGTCCTTTTGAGCATTCTCTTTGTTCTTTTCAAGCCTTCCACCTGAACCAAATCGTACTTCTTAACTGGTGTTGTATTGGATCAATATTGCACATGGCCATGCCACTGAAGTTTTCTTTTACCCATCTTATCACCTATTAAAGTCACACCTAAACTCCCTTGAGTGTATTTATTTACAATTATATCTTTTTTTTGTTTTGTTATCCTCCTCAACATCCTTATCTAAACTAATATCAACCTATGAATATGTTGTTTCTTGACCGCCCAACATTCTATCCCGTAAAGCATTGGTGGTCTTATAGCTGTTTTATAGAACTTACCCTTCAGTTTCATTGGTATATGTGACAATCACACAAAACTCTAGATCTGCAACTCCACTTTGCCTACCTAGCTCTAATTCTATATGTGACATCTTTCCTATCTCCTTTCGCTTGGATTATTGACCCAAGATATTGAAAATAACATCTTTTAGGTATTTATTCCCCATTAATCTTAACTACTTCTTTTCTACTCATATTATTAAAAACTTTTATTTCAATATTATGTCTTAATTCGACTAATTTTAAAACCTTTCTATTCAAGAGTATCCCTCCAAAGTCTTATTTTTGCATTGACACCACCCCTAGTCTCATCTATCAAAACTATGTCATCCGCGAATAATATGCATCACGGTACCTCATCTTATAGGTGCCTAGTTAATTCGTCCATAACCAAAACAAAGAGATGTGGGCTCTAAAAAATTACTTTGTAAAATTCATTGGCATAGACGGCTTCGCAGAGTAAGGCATGCCAATTTTATAATTTGGCACACTTAAGTCACCAAGACCCCTACTTGTTCCAATTCTAAACTCATAACAAAGTTTTCTGATGTAAAATGTATCTAAGATTTAGAACCCTGAAAAAGCAGGTATATTCTGGCCATTTGGCTAAAGGGCCCAAATCACAACAATGTCGTCACTTTTTTAGGTCAAAAACCCAAAACATGGTTTTTGTTCGGGTTTTGAACCCCTCTTCCTGTTTTCTTTCTACCAAAATGAATTCGGCAAGGTATTATTAAATGGGCAATCTTTCTATGCTTCCCCTACAACATAAATCTTATATGCTTCCCCTACAACATAAATCTTTTATTGCTTCCCCTACAACATAAATTGGCAACCTTTCTATGCCCCAATCACAATGTCATGTCTCTACACTCTTTTATTTTTAATTTTTTTCTACAAACTATTTTAACATCAAATTTTATACATCCAATCCTCTATTAAACTCGCACTAGTAAAAGATTCAAGGAGTAATTTGATCATTATATTTTATCGAAAAATTATTTTTAATATTTTTTATAGGTGCGGCCCAATGAGAAAATGGCAGTACCAAATTTCATAATCATACATCTTTTATAAAAAAAACTAAAAATAAAATACTCTAAGACGTCGGATTTAAGATCTAACGGTTTGATCAAAATTGGACGGCTGGATGGTCGGGGAAGCATAGATCCTCTATGCTGTAAGGGAAGTTAAATTAGTTGATTCAATGACCAGAGATGGTTCGACTTTTTTATTGATATTTCCCCTATATTCTAGTTTCTTCTTTACTTATTTGATTCTAAGCTTCTTTGTGCACGATTAGTATGCTGGAATGTACGTGAAAGATAAATATTTTTATGGAGCATCACAACGTTGCAGCGTTTGGACTCCTCAACTTGAATCTCCTAGTGAGTACAGTGCGGCAGCAACTTGGCTCGTCAATAACGAAGGAAGTGAGACAGATGTGATTGGAGCAGGATGGATGGTATTTTGCCTTTTGCTGTTTTCTTTTTCGTTTTTCGTCGATTACTCAGCTTAATAAATATATCATAGTTCATGAACCTGAATATGGCTTTTAGATTCGCCAGCTTAATAATATTTACCGACAAACAACAACAGCTTAATAAAATTTACAGGCAAACAATAACGAAAAAATTAACCGTTTTATCTACAACCACCCCCCCCTAAAAAGATAACCATTACCAAGCCCTCCTAATAGAAACGTACCTTCCTTTTGCACCCACATAACTCCAACACAACCTAATAACCTTGCATAAGATCAAAAGCTAATCTATTCAACGGATTCTATCACTCATAAACTCTGGCTAAAAATAAAATGGGTTCCAAAAATCCTATTTTTAATAATTAATTTTAATAAATAAAATAAAAATTCTACCCAAATTTTCAAAAATAAAATTAACAAAAATAAAATTAAAATTTTTAGACACTACATTTTGTTCCGCGTGAGATGGCAACCACAATAAAAATGAATTGAATAAAAACAAGAACCCATTGTTAAAACAAATATGTTTTGACGGAAATAGATGATAATATACTCTACAAATGGATGGGACACTTACGATAATGCTTCGGGTTTGGAAAGAGTTTTTAATCAAACAATGTCTGTATGTTTAGGAGATATTCATCTTCATATATAAGATATTGGTATGAGTTTGATGGTTTATACGTGTATAGGTGAAACCATCTCTCTTTGGGAACAACGACACCCGTCTCTTTGTATCTTGGAATGTAAGCTTCATATTACTTGATCATCGACTGTTGGTACTTATTGATGTATATGATGTTAATCGGCCGATTATTTGTGTGTATCAGAAAGTAGCAGGTTCTCAGACCACTGGGTGCTACAACCTTTTCTGTCCAGGTTTTATTCAGACAACCACAAAGGTTGCCTTGGGGGACTTTCTCATTCAGGGGCTTGACACTTACTACGACATAGTCAAGGTAATATGCACCAAACAAAAATCCGAAAGGTCCATCGCATTCTAAAAGTACTTTCTTTATTCCGTCTGCACATTTAACACCTTCTAGTTCACAAGCTAAAAGCTTGGGCAGTGAAACATATTTCTGGTTTTGTTTCCGATAATTTTGTAGTGGTTATGCAGAAAAAGGAAAAACTCAATTCTGAAATTGAGAATTTGCTTTCTATATAAAGCTAGTTATTCTATAATATCCACCATCAAGCCTCCTTTTGGCACGATAATGAATTGTAGTTCCGTCAAATGTTTGAGAACTACACCTCATCTCCAATGCCCATCAAGTATTGGATGTCCCATGGTGTCTGCTATAGCATTTAAACTCTATGTATTGTGATCAGTATGCCGGGTCTCTCCTCCGCCACGGTACTTGGCCCTAGCCAAGGTGAGTTAGTTGATAGAAGACCAAAAGGCATATATAAATTAAAAAATATAGGAAATTTTTCGAAAAAATATAAAGTGATATTTGGAAAATAGAGACAAAAATGAATTTAAAAAATGGTGTGGTTTGCATAAGGCTGAGGCCCTAAACAATCAAAGTAAGGCACACCTTTAAATTGTATCATAATATATTGTTTCTATATAAAAAATCTTTGTGATAGTCTGAAAAATTTATTTTCATCTTTTATTATAAAATTTAAAAATTTAAAATTTAAAATTAATGTATATTGTGCAGGTCTATGAACACTTGAAAAATCTTGAAAATTGACAGTCTGGATGATACATTACAAGATACTATTTCCAAGACTTGAAATTTATTTTTTCTCATGTCCATGCATCTTGCGGACAAGATGATCAACTTAAGATATTTTAACATTGAAACAGCCTCTTCTAGTGAATTTTTGACTTGCACATTAATTTGATTGTTTAGGGCATCACCCTTATCTGAACTTTTTCCTTTAGAAAAAGGTGCGGTTTAGAAGGTTCAAGCTCTCCTTCTAGCGCTTTCCACTTTTATCCAAAAGCTAAGGGTGTGTTTTGCATATGGTTGCAACCCTAGGCAATCAAAATAAGGTGCACCACCAAATTTTATCATAAAATATAATTTTAGTATAACAAATTCTTAGGATGGCTTGAGATCCATTTTCATTTCAAATTATAAATTTTAGACTAAAAAACAGTTCAAAACAAGTAGATCTATAAACACATGAAATTCTTGAAAGTGGAATTTCTAGATAACGTGTGGTAAGATGTATTATTTTTGGGACTCAAAATCTTTTTTTTTCTTCATATTCATGCATATCGATGTCGAGGTGATCAATTAGAGGGTTTTCCAACTCCGAAGCAGTCTTTTACGATGAATGTTTTTGGGTGCATTTTAATTTTAAGGCTGGAACCATTTACAAAATTTTTCATTTAAGAAAAATTGATTTACAATTTGGGACATGGCATTTAAAAAATCCAAAAATATATAAAAATAGGGTTTATGGTAAAATATACTCACCAATCTTTGTTAAAAGCATCCAAACTATATAAAAAAATTTAAATAACATTTCTAAATTTTTTACAATTTTTATTTTTATCTTTTATATTACCTTGGCTTATACACCTAGCATGGGTTTACTTAGCCTCACACTAGTTAGTCACCCAACTTGGACTCGGGTGAGTCCAACTTGGACTCAGCTGAGTCTCGTCACACTGATTGTTCTCTATTTCCTATATCTGTCTATAAAGTTTTAAATAAGGGTTTATTTAGGGTACTCATAGTGTATTTCTTTAATAATTTTGGATACTCATTACTTTTTCTTTGTGATACAAATTTTTTCAAACAAGGGTATTTTTTGTAAGTAAGAGGAGTAGAATAAATATTTTTGTAAGCTAAATACTGGCATTATAATAAGAGTGTAGTTTGTATAGAGCCAAGGCTTTAAATAATCAAATTATCTTCAAAACTTGAATAACTTAAAAATTGATTGTAAAAAAAAGTGTTACAAAATGCACTATTTTGAAAACTTGAAATCCATTTTTTTCTCAATCCATGCATCTTGATGTCGAGATGATCTATTTGAGGATATTTGGGCGAAAGTTTTGAGGTTGGCTCTAATTTGATTGTTTTGAGCCTAGGCTCTATATAAACTTTTTTTTATATATTAATGGTTAAACCAATTAAGGCTTCATGCAAGTGATGTCAAACTTCACATGAATAATATCATTATCCACTATAATTAATAAATACTTTTCTTTTTAATAATAATTTCTATTTTAACTAATAACCTAAAATACCCCCACACAAATAGCTTCTACATTGTAGGGCAAGGATATTAAGTATCCGAAAATATTGAGAATATTAAGGAAATACTTTGAACGTATGGAATACCCTGACAAAACTCTTTAAATAATAGATTCAAGTGTATAACACACAGGAAACTGACTGCCCATAAAAATCAGATGAGACATTGCAAACCTCTCAGAGAATAAAGGACCCTCTCTTTCTCGCGCAGGACCCGAACACTGGGCACTGGTGGTTTACATTTGAGGACATTCCTATAGGCTACTGGCCTGCATCCATGTTCACAAACTTACAGGTAGCCCTAAGGGTGGTGTGGGCCGGGCAAGTTCTGAACACGAAACCTGGTAGACATCACACTGCTACACAGATGGGGAATGGCATTTTCCCTGGTGAAAAACAGAAGGCTGCTTCCTTCTATAATTTGAAAGTTCGAGACGGTGGTGGCAAGTGGGATCCTATCACTGACCTCAACAATTTCAAAGACAGCAGATATTGCTATGATTCTCAGATAATGTCTCTTTTTGTGAGTGACGCCTTCTACTTTGGAGGACCAGGTAGAGGTCCCTCTTGTATGTAATATGGAGAAATTCTTGGACTTATTGCCATAATTTCCAATAAAACTAATCAATAATGTGATTGTTGAAAATGTGCTTATTTTCCTGGGAATTTATTTTTTAATAATTGTACAAAATCAATATTTTAGTATATGAGAAATCTCATGTCATTAACGTGAGGCAATGCTAGGATTCTTTTTTTAAGCGTTTGGAAAACCCCTTTTGTTTGTTGGGATTCTTTTTGAAAATTGTTTTTCCTATTTTATATAAATATATATATAGAGAGAGAGAGTTTATTTAATTTCTAAATGTATTTTTATCAAATTGTAGGAATTCTTGGATGATATCCTATATTAATGGACTAATGATAGGTTTAGCTCATTACGCAAAATTAACAGTTTGGTGAGAGCTTGTTAATCCTAATTAGCTGCACTTATGGGAATTAAGGTTCTCAACTAATGTAGGCTATGAATGTGGGAGTTATTTTGAATGCGGGAGTTATTTCAAATGTGAGAGAAGGATTTCTTTTTATTTTATTTATATTTTTTTATGATCATTCTTATTAGTATCTCCTTTAGAGATCATATAGTAAATGAGGCTTTTGGTAACTAATTCAGAAAGCTATACCACCAAAAGAGAGAGGGAGAAGGCCGTTCACTTCCAATCTTGTATCAAGTAAATCCTCTTTATTTTCAGAATTTGAAAACACATATATTTCATAGTGTAAACTTAAGTCCCACTTTTCAATAGTACAGGGCGTATGTTGATTTTAACACTTTTATTATATATAAAATTAAGCTCAAATTTGGTATGTTCAACATCATACACCAATAAAAAAATTTAATAATAACATAATAATAATAATAATAATAATAATAATAATAATAATAATAATAATAATAATAATAATAATAATAATAATAAGAAAATGTGTATGAAAAAGCATACCAAATTTGAGCTTCATTTTAATATTATTTAAATTTTTTTAATAATGTGAAAGTGTGTATGAAAGAGTAATTTCTCAAATTTTAAGTAATTTTTTGCTTCTAAAGTTTTTGAGTATAGTTTTTTGCTCTAAAATTTTTGAGATAGTTACTTTCTCTAAATTTTTAAAGTAATTTATCTCTCTAAAACTTGATATAGTTTTACTCTCTAAAGTTTTAAGATACTTTCTCTCTAAAACTTGAAATTTGATATAATTTCTCTCTCTAAATTTTTTGAGATAGTTCTCTCTCTAAAAACTTTCAGGTCGTTTCTCTCTCAAAATTTTGATGTAGTTTCTCTCTTTAAAACTTAAAATTTGACATAGTATCTCTCTATAAAAATTTTAAGATATTTTATCTCTAAACATTTAGGTGGTTTCTCTCTAGAAAATTTGATATAGTTTCTCTCTCTAAAATTTTAAGATACTTTCTCTCTCTCTCTCTCTAAAGCTTAAATATGAGATAAATTCCCTTTAAAATTTTTGAGATAGTTTCTCTATTTAAAAATTTAAGTATTTTTTCTCTCTAAAATTTTAAGATACTTTCTCTCTCTAGAACTTGAAATTTAAGATAGTTTCTCTCTCTAAAAATTTTGAGATAGTTTCTCTCGCTAAATTTTTTTAGATAGTCTCTCTCTCTCTCTCTAAAATTTGATATATTTTATATCTTTAAAATTTTAAGATACTTTCTCTTTTTAAAACTTGAAATTTTGAGTTGTTTCTATCACTAAAAATTTTCAGATATTTCTCTCTAAAATGTTTTAGGAAGTTTCTTTCAGTAAAATTTGATATAGTTTCACTCTCTACAATTTTACAATATGTATCGCTAAAAAAACTTGAAATTTGAGATAGTTTCTTTCTCTAAAACTTGAACTTTGAGATAGTTTTTCTCTCTAAAAAATTTCATGTAATTTCTCTCTAAATTGTGAATGGTTTCTCTCTAAAATTTTAAGATACTTTTTCTCTCTAAAAGTTGAAATTTGATATAGTTTTTCTCTCTAAAAATTTGGGATAGTTTCTCTCTCCAAGTTTCTCGCTCTAAAATTTGATATAGTTTCTCTTTTTTAATTTTTAAAATACTTTGTCTATCTAAAACTTAAAATTTGGGGTGGTTTCTCTCTCTAATTTGTGTGGATGTTTTGGCATAATTAGTTATATTTTATAAAGTGGGCAGTTCTGGTATGTGAAAATAGTATATTCACAAGTTGTATTCATTCTTTCATGCTTACACAAAACAATGTTGGGGATAACTCAATTTTTTTCTTGGTTTTGTATACCCATGTTTTGGCCCTCTTTCTTGGTTATAGAAAACATGATTATGTATCCAAAAAGTCGTCAAAAGTGTTTTTTTGTGGGATGACATGGCTATACAAAGCTACATTTGTTTACCCTAGGATCCAAATGACCCCTAAATGATAAGTTTCTATAGGCTACGTAATTCCACATTATCTTTTGAAACTTCCAAGACATACATCTAAGAAGATATTTATGCTTTCTTTATTGATTTCGAAAATAACTAAGTCTTTGTAAAAAACGTGACCTACATCTTAAAAGAATTTCTTACCAATGCATCCCCTAATAAAATATATTCTCTATAAAAAATAATAATTAGAAAAATAAGATTTCTAACCCTAAAAATAGTGTATATTGTAACATATTATCAAGATTATCCATTTCACACTAAAAATTAGTGTTTATGGATCCACAAGATTTGAATAGTTTTTGGAGCTTTAAATTGTTGGCTATGTGGCATTTCATGGTAAATTGTTAGCTATCTTTTAAATTGATAAAACATATTATCAAGATTATCCAATAGTCTTTCACTCAGTGGGAGCAAGGGAGAGTGACTGAATCTGGTTACTTGGTGCACTGGGGCCTAGATTCTTATACCCTAAGTATTTGAGGCATTGAGAATTTACGTTTTGAGATTGTGAGCTCTCAAGGAGGTGTGAGGGTTACCTCCTAGTCAGGAATATATTAATTAGAATGCCTCATAGTTGATTTGATTAGCCAAGGATTGGAGAATCTAATCAAGAATAATAGAACCCGAGTATTTAACATAATATTCGCCCTGTATGGAATGGTCGACTAATGAGATATGTACCCGTATCTTGAAACGAGACTATTCCCGGACATGTGCACCCACAGTCATATGGGGAAGCCACTATTATATAATATTATTTGACTTAAAGGAGCTAGTGCACGTGCGCTTTGAAAGGACCCCTATAGTTGAGTAAGAACATGTCCCTATAGGGATTCACCAATAGTCCATTGAATCCCCAGTGATGGGAAGCTCTGGTTCAACGACTTTGATGTGACCAATTATGTATCCCTGCTATAGATTGTGGAGCATAGACTCGTTGGATCGACTTGAGACACCGGTGAAACTTCATTTGGGTTAGCCCAATTGAAGACTCCGACTAGTGTTACATGTTGGGTTTATATGGCCTTTAAAAGCCTTATGAGTACTTGTAAAATGAAATGATATAGTGGAATATGAACTCAGTGGGAGTGTGGTCCCTCATGGACCATACTAAGCAAACGTGGGTTTGTTGATACTGATCTGTGCTTGACGATCTAGGCCAGTCGGTTGGGAAAAACTCATGTTACCTGAGCATGAAGAACAAACCGATGAGGGTTTACGGGTTAGCCCTTGATGAGGTAGGAGAACATGCCCAGATGAGTGAGCCGAGGGACTGTGTGACCCTTGTGTGTGATGATGGCCTACAGAGACTGGGGCCAAAACCTCATCCATGTACCATCACACATCATGCATATCGATAGATCATTCGGGAAAGAAAAAAATCCACCTTTTAGCGTGAAGCGTATGCATGTACGAGAGATACCCCTATGCTGTGGTCACATAAGGTATTGGTGACCTTGACTTGTCTCTAGGGAAGGACCTGTAATCCACAGACCGGGATTGCGACCCCTTGGCTTATCTGCCAGACTTTGGTGACCCACTAATGAGCCCCTGCTTAGATTGTGGGTCATGGGAAATACTGGGTCGGCTCCATAAGGCAAGTGTGTAGTTCACAGTTGAAGGTGGAGTGCCCCATGATTGCAGATTAAATTCCTTAACCATATGGATCCATTTCCCATCAAGGTAATTTAATTATGTTTGTTTTATGATAAAAATTATTTTAGAAGTATTACTTGAATTTTTATGAGTAATTTGATATTTTATTTATAATTTTTTTGGACTTATAAAAATGAAGATATTGATTTTACAAAATTATAAAATTCAAATAATGTTTTAGAATATTTTTTTGATAATTTAAAATTATATAAAATATTAGGGAGGGGCCCTTAGTGTACATGGGCCTACCATGTGTCAAGTGGGTGGGGCCCACATGTGCCACACATGGGTGGCACACCCCACCCATTGGATTCTTTTTTGGAGTTTAAGATACAGAATATTTCATAACACCCCACTCATAGTGTTATGACATGTGGTCAAATAAGATACAGAATATTTTGACCATATATTGGCTAAATATTGAAAGTGTATATTGATTTGATATATTTTTGGAATATTTTATGAAAGATTATGGAATGCATAATATTTTAATTATATTTAATTTATCTAATTTCCATTGATGGGAAAATGGTTAAGGAAAACGGGATAATGGTCCATGTACCTTCCATAATGTTGATGGCCCATATATGGAATAGATGACTCAGATATCTCACCCCATAAGTTACCCTTGAGCGACGGTCTATGTTCAATCTCACAAGAAGAGCAAGTCAAAGAAAACCCTAAGAAACCCCAATCTTGTTCAAGCCTATAAAAAAAAGATTGTCTCTATCCAAAATCTCTACACCTTATCTTTCTATCTCTCTCTCTTAAGAAAGTTTATGTCTCTCACGTTTGATCTCTCTCTCTCCTACTTTGTAAAAGAACCTAAGGGTTTAGGTTATAGAGTTCTTCTCTCTCCTATCTCTCAAATATGAATTTATGGCTAAGGGTTTTAGGGTTTAGCAAAA